CAAAAGCAATTGCAGAAAGATATAAATTCTACAAACGTGTCCAACAGCCAGGAGAGTCAATAAATGTTTACTTATCGGAATTGCGGAAATTAGGCGTAACATGTAAGTTCACAGATTTAAATACGTCACTAAGAGATCAACTTGTTGTAGGTATCCGCTCTGAGACGGCACAGAAACGTCTGTTTCTTGAAGATGATAACCTGACCTTAGACAATGCTGTCAAGATTGCCACAAGTCAGGAAGCTGCGGATAGCAGTACTCAATTAATTCGGCAAAATAATAGTCATGTTGTTGCCACAAATCAAACTAATAAAGTGAAATTGTCATCTAAGCAGTCTCATCCGAACAAGTCAAAACAGAATAAATTCAAGTGTATCGGCTGTGGAGGAAAGCATCAAAAAAAGGATTGCCCACACAAAGAAGTTATCTGTCACCGTTGTAATAAATCTGGTCACTTTGCGAATCGATGTCTATCACAGCTTAAAGGCGAAGGTGCAGAAGGAAAATATAAAACTAGTCAAATCAAGAATGTCAAGCAAGTACCATACGATAGTCCTATCATAATAAATGTTCGTTTGAATGGAATTTCAACGGATCTAGAATTAGATACTGCTTCGGGCACTAGTTTTATTACACCTAATATATGGAAGAAATTGGGATGCCCCAAACTTCGTCCTAGCAACAAGAGATTCAGAACATATACAGGACAGAAGTTTGAATCAAGAGGAATATTTCTTTGTACTGTCGAGTACAATCAGCAAACAGTTAAACATCAGATACACGTTTCTGAGGGATCTAGTCTTTTTGGTCGTGATCTGTTGAGGAAAATTCAAATTGATTGGACATTGATAAAGAAACAATGTTCTCAGGTAAGCCGTATTAGCAATGAAACGTCATTAAACACATTGTTAACGGATTACAACGATGTTTTTGATCAACCTGTAGGAGTCATTCAAGGTTTTAAAGCTAAATTAGTACTTAAAGAAAATGCAGTTCCTCGTTTTTTTAAGCCACGTCCCATTCCATTTTCGTTACGTGAAAAAGTCGATAATGAGCTCGATAAAATGGAAAAATCTGGTGCCATCAGTCGTGTTGAAACATCAGAATGGGCCTCACCATTAGTTGTAGTACCAAAACCTAATGGATCTGTTCGAATTACAGGAGATTTTAAGCGTACAATAAATAATCAACTACATATTCAGCAGTATCCTCTTGCAAGAGTTGAGGAATTATTTGAGAAGATTTCGGGTGGTCAAAAATTTACTAAATTAGATGGTCCGGATGCATTTCATCAAGTGGAGATGGAAGAATCGTGCAAAAAGTATTTAGTCATAAATACTCATCGGGGTCTCTACCAATATAATGTATTACCTCAAGGTATTGCGTCATCACCAGCGATATTTCAGGAATTAATGGATCGAATGCTTAAAGGAATTCCGAAGACAGGCTCATTTGTAGACGATACAATTATCACAGGGAAGGATGACCAAGATCATTTACAAAATCTGAAAATGGTACTTCAGCGAATGAGAGAGTGGAACTTTCGTTTATCTAGAAAAAAAAGCAATTTGCTGCAACCGTCAGTCAAGTTTTTGGGACAAATTTTGTGTGCAGAAGGTATCTGCACAGATCTAGATAAAATCAAATCCATCATGTCTATGAGGGAACCCAAAGATATAAATGAATTAAAGTCTTTCTTGGGGTTGGTAAATTTTTACAGCAAATTTATCAACAATTTATCGCATTTATGTGAACCACTCAACAGATTAACACGTGATGGAGTAAAATGGAACTGGAACGACAAATGCAGGAAAAGTTTTAACGGAATCAAGAAAGCCGTATCAAGCGCCCCCATTCTAGCTCACTATCAACAAACGGTTCCTGTTGGAATAGCATGTGACGCATCTTCTGTTGGCGTTGGAGTAGTCTTATTTCATCGATATGAAGATGGGAGTGAACGTCCAATTGCTTTTGCTTCTAAGACATTATCAGCGGCTGAACGGAATTATTCTCAAGTGGAGAAAGAAGCGCTGAGCATTGTATTTGGAATAAAACGCTTCATCCAATACTTATACGGATGTCGTTTTATACTAGTTACGGATCATAATCCGCTACTTGCAATATTTGGTCCAAATCGTGAGTTACCATCCCTAGCAGCAACTAGATTGCACCGGTGGGCTATATTCTTGTCTAGTTTCCTGTACGATATTGAATATCGTAATACTCATCGTCACGGTAATGCAGATGCACTATCACGTTTACCTCTCGAAGATAGTAAACCGGTGGACGTCGAAATCGAAGAAGAAATTAAAGCCATAGCTGTGGAACACCCAATAACTTCAAATTTAGTAAGACAAAAGACAAATCGAGATCCAACGTTGTCTAGCGTTACTCGTTTTATTAGGAAAGGTTGGCCTGATAAACAGTCTCAGTTATCAGATAATTTAAAACCCTACTTTATTCATCGTGATGAATTCACAGTAGAACAAGGAATCGTTATGTGGGGTATACGAGTTGTCATACCAGAGTCCCTACGAGATCAAGTCTTAAAGCAGCTGCATGAAACGCATTCTGGAATCGTCCGAATGAAGGCTCTAGCAAGAAGTTATGTGTGGTGGCCGGGAATGGACAACGACATAGGTACACTTGCAAAATCGTGTGTATCATGTGCCGTTAATCGTGATAATCCTCCTACGGCTCCTTTACACCCATGGTCGTTTCCAGAAAAAGCATGGCAACGGTTGCATGTTGACTTAGCAGGTCCTTTTTTAAACAACATGTGGTTAATAATGGTCGACGCCTATAGTAAATGGCCGGAAGTTTATAAGCTCGGAAAAGATTCATCATCGGCTCAAGTGATTCAATGCATTCGAGAAAGCATATCACGTTATGGTATTCCGGATACAATAGTCTCCGATAATGGTCCCCAATTTGTATCAAAGGAGTTTGAAGAATTCTGTAAAAAGAATGGTATTCGTCATACTACATCGAGTGCCTATCATCCTCGAAGTAATGGGGAAGCTGAGCGGTTCGTCCGAACGTTCAAGAATAATATGAAGTCCAGTAAGAATGCGCAAAAAGATAACTTGGAATTGTGTAACTTCTTATTTAACTATAGGATCACAGTCCACGCAACTACAGGTGTTGCACCGTCGGAACTTATGATGAGAAGACAGTTAAAATGTCACCTTGATTTACTTCATCCTGATGTAGATTCTACAGTCAAAATAAATCAAGAGAAGCAAAGACATCAGTTTAATAAAAAAGTTCCTGTTCGAGAATTCAGTCCTGGAGATAAAGTTTGGGTCCGAACGTTTGGAAAACATGATCCCAAATGGAACCTTGGAACCATTATAAGATCAGTTGGTCCAGTATCATATATTGTCCAAGTAGATAGCCGTACTTTAAAACGACATGTGGATCATATTATCTCGGCATCTGTCCAGAAGCCATTAGAAACTAATTCTAACGACATTATCATTAATCCAGAGGAATTGTCTAATTCAACGGAACCAGAAATCGTCGAAGAGCAAAGTCCAGAACCAGGATCCAGTTCCAGCGCTGAACCAACGAAGTCCTCTCGTCCTAAGCGTAATACGCACCCTCCGGATCGTTTAGAATATTCGAGTCTTGGTAAACAAAATCTAAAGGGGGGAGGAAAATGTAGTATCGAGTAATATTACTACGCGCGGCATTGAGCACGGGATACGGGAGAGGGCGCAGACACGGACAGGCGGTCACTGTAATGAGAGACACACGTCACACGAGTGAATCGTATATTTCAATATATTGTATTTCCCGACTTTTAAATATATCTATATTCTTTTAAAGAAACTTCCGAGTGTTTATTAAAGACGAACATAACAAAAGTACTTATTATGAAATATAAAGGTTTCCAAATTGTCAGCAAAATTGTTTTACTATTGAACCACGTGCGATTTATAGTTGCCGAGATATAAATAAGTGCTCTCACATTGTTATAAATTTTAAAAATTTTATATAAGTACAAACATATATAAATACTTCGTTTTCACACTTGTGGA